AGGACGTCTGCCTCTCCCGCTGCCTGGCCAGACACCCTCCTTCCTGTGTGCGGTGGCGGCCAGGGAGTGTCTGGAAGTAGTCGGGGACCAGCCCAGAGGGAGCTACAGGCACCTGGGCAGGCAGCCCAGGAGGGGCTGGTTGGGGTTGCCCAGTGCGCTGGCCACACCCTCGGCCATGGGGCATCTTACTTGCCGTCACCCCACCTGCTCTCTGCCCCTCTGGCTGTGCACAGAGCGTAGGCGAGGCGGCCGGCGGCACTCGGCGTCCACGGGGAGGATGGTGGCCCTGTACGACTACGACCCCCGGGAGAGCTCGCCCAATGTGGACGTCGAGGTAGGACACAGGCCCGTGAGAGGCTGGGCCCCACCCTCTCCCTCTGAGATGCTCGGGCACCCTGCGGAGGTGTGGGGGGGGCCCTGCCTCGGTAGCCCCCAGGGTCCCCCCCCAGTCACCTTGCAGGGTTATCCATGGGAGGGGGAGATGGAGAGGGAAGCAGGGGGAGGCCCGTGGGCTCCCGGACACTGGGCAGGCGTGCATCAGACCCTTGGGGCCCTCCTCCTTGGACGCAGCGGTGCGCCTGGAGCCTCCCGCCCAGCCTGAGCTCAGCTCCTGGGTGGGGGCTGGGCCCGTGGACTCTGCCTTGTCCAGCACCCAGTGTGCACCTAACTAAGAATGGTCTGAAGCTGGCTGCTAGGTGCAGGGGAGACGAGTTGGGGGGTGAACCTGAAGCTTGCATGCCCACTGTGAGGATGTTTGGGGGGCATGAAGCTTGCGTGCTTGATGCAGGGGTGTCTGGGAGGGGTAATGATTAGCATGCTCAATGCAGGGGTTTTGGGGGCGAGGAGCTTGCATGCTCGATGCAGCGGTACCTGGGGGTTCATGAAGCTGGCAGACTGGGTGCAGAGGTGTCTGGGGAGGCCCTGAGGTCCGCACAGGCCCCCTGGGCTCTGCGTTTTGGTGCTCTCCGAGGCTTAAAGACATGCCCCCATAGAAGAGTGGGGAGCCCCAAACACGGAGCCTCTGGCCTCTGCGGATATGCCTAGCTGTTGAGCACCCTGGGTGGCCTCCTCTTGGCTGGATGAGGTCAGGGCTGAGCTGGGGAGAGTGGGAACTGCTGAGAGAAGGCCGAGAACTGACCTTTTGGGACAACGGCTTTGTCCAGGAAACAGTGTTAACTTTGTGTCCCCTCCACAGGCTGAGCTGACGTTTTGCACAGGAGATATTATTACTGTTTTTGGAGACATTGATGAAGATGGGTTTTATTATGTACGTTTTTGAGCTTCCTTCTTCCTTCTGCCCTCCCGCTCCTCTCCCTCTCCCCTTCCCTCCTCAAGGTTATGCTCCTGACTTGCCGGCCCCTCTGCGGTGTATAAAGTGTAAATAAATGCATTTATGTTCTCACGTTTTAAAATGTGGTGAGGGCAGGGGGGCAGGCCCAGCGCTCTCTGGGGGGTGGCCAGAGCCTTGGGGGGTGACAGGCCTGGAGATGGCTCCTGTGGGAACCACTCTGGCCCAGACCCCACACACGTGAGCCCTGCCCTTGGCTCTGGCCTGCAGTTCCGGTGTCTGCCTGGTGGGGGAGACAGAGGCCCTGCTCAGCGCCCCTGGAAGCCAGATGCGCCCTGGGGCCTGGGTTTCTTAGCCCTCTGGCTGTATGGTACAGAGAGGGGCCAGTCTCTCTCGGCTTTGGGTGGCCTGCCGGCCTGTGGCACCCTGTCACACCCCAGGGCATCGCCCCGGGGCCAGCTCTGCCCCATTAGCGCTTTGCCCTGATGTCCTGGGTTTTCCGAAGCCACGGTCTGGATGGACGGAGTGGCAGCTTATGGTTCTGACTTGTTTCCTTCTGGTTGGTGGTGTCCAGTGTGTCGATCCCTTGTGTGAGCTCTTTGGTTGCCTGTTTTATTTGGGCTTTTTGCTGCTGAGCTCCAGGGCCAGAGCCTCTGACATGGCCCCCACCCCCTGCCCCTGCCACTTGCTTTGCTGCTTCAGGCTGAGAGGTGGGACGGACCAGGCACCCGTGGGACTGTGGCCCAGAGGTCCGGAGGCAGCTGGGTTCAGTCACACCCTTCACCGTGGGTGCGTGGACAGATCCTTGGGGAGGCAGCTGGGGCCTCTGGGGCACAGCGCAGGGTGGTGTCCTGCTGGCGCGCGCACTGGGAGGCCCAGTGGGCGGGCTCCAGCCTTGCCGTCAGGGGTCACCTGTCTCTTTGCCATGCCTGCAGGGGGCTGTCTGCAGGGTTGGGGTGCTGAGCTCAGCAGGGCTGATGAGAGTTGAGCTCAGCCGGGCTGATGGGCTCTGTGACCAGGCAGCTTGGAAACACTCACATCCTTGGGGTTCTCCCACTGATGCCTGTGCCCTGTCGGCCATGGGGGAAGGGCAGCTCACCTCTGCCCCTTGTTTCAGGGGGAGCTGAACGGGCAAAAAGGCCTCGTGCCCTCCAACTTCCTAGAAGAAGTGCCTGACGACGTGGAGGTCTACCTGTCGGACGCCCCCTCCCACTGCTCCCAGGACACGCCTGTGCGCACCAAGGCCAAAAGGGTAAGAGGACCCCGCGGGGCCCCTCCGCCTGCCCCCGCGCCGCGGCCCACGCAGCCTCCACTTGGGCTCTTACGCTTTGGGCCGAAACACAAAGACCCTGAGTTTTTTCTCTGCCTTGCCGTGGGGGTTTGTGCCTAAAAGCCCTGGCTCCTGCGCGCCTGTGCTGGTCACCCGCACCAGCGCACTGCGGCTGAGGAGCCCCAGCAGAGCGCCGGGCTGTGGGGCGCACCTGCCCCCCAGGGTTTAGGGCCCTAACAAAGGCCAGAGCTTCTCGAGTTAACTGTTAGAGAACATTCATGGTTAGTGTCTCATTTTTATTTTATTTCATCACTGCGAGTTTTTCTATATTATATTTTTATATATATATATTTTTATTTCTTTGCTCATCTGCTTGGAAACAGAAGAAGAGTGTTCATTTCACACCTTAATCAGGCAATGTAGCCTTCACGTAAGTGAGCCACTGAAGACACCTATAAAGATACCAGCTTAAGCTACCCTGACGGACGAACGCGGTGGGCTTAAGGTTCGCTGTGGGGCTGCAGGAATAAGAAATATGTCTCAAGAGGCCGCTGGACCAAAGTGGTAGCTCTGTTGCTCTCGGTTCTAAGTGACTGAGTTTGCAGGCAGTCACCTTTCCTACCATTTGCAGCAGCAGATTTGAGGCCATCACTGGGGACATATTTCTTACCAGGCTGATGGTCTGTCCCTGTGGCGAGTGTCCCCGTGTCCGCTCACCGCCTCAGCCCACATTGCATTGTCAGCCCCTCTTGGAAAAGCACAACCTCGCACGTTTACCACCAAAACCCCCTTTAAAGCACAGCTGCTCACAGCTGAGCGGCCCGCGGGCTGGGGCACATGCTTGTGTCAGGGCGCCCCCACGCGGCGGGTGCGGGCAATGCAATGCCGGCTGCGCGGTGCGGCTCCAGGCCGCGTTAGACGAGCGATGGTATCTTCAGGTGTGCTTTGGGACGCTTGGCAGGTGTTCTCCATGAGAGTAGACCTTGACTTTCAACCCATGCAGCTTAAAGCCCCGGCTGGGCATGCCTGTGGGCAGGCCTCCGCGCCAGGAAGGGCTGCTCTGGGCCAGCACGAGCCCGGCAATCCCAGGGCGGAGTCTGGCTACTGCAGCGAGGGGCCCCCGGTCTGCAGAAACGCAGCGTAGGGAAGCCCGGCTGCCGCCCCAGAGCAGACACAGCCGCCGCAGGCCTTAAGCTTCCTGGCTTGCAGTCAAAGCTCATCTTAGTTTTTTTTCCTTCACCCCGTGTGCCATCTCCAGCGTCCCGTAGTGTGCGCTTGCCAGGGTCGGGGCTTAAGGGACCCACGTAGTTTCCAAAGACAAGTCCTGCTGAGGCAGCAGCCTCTGCGCGAGAGGTCCAGGGCACGTGGCCGCCTGGGCCCCGGCCCGTCCGGCCAGTGCTGACACAGCTCTGCTGGGCGAGGCCGCCCTACCCGGAGCCAGGCTGGCCCAGGTGGCGGCTGCCTGCCCCAGACGCGCCGGGGGAGGGGGCTTTCCCGCTGCCCTTCCTGGGGGGTGGGGGTCGCCGAGCGGAGGGGTTGTGGCGCTCACGCCCTCACTAAACTCTCACGATGTACCTACCAGGTTCCTCCTGAGGGTTCAGGTACAGCAAGGAGCGCGCCACCCCCCACAGTCCATCTCCATTCGGGGTCACCTACGTCATCTATGGGTACTGGGAGTCCCGGGAGAGGCAGGGAAATGTCCTCGAGAAAGAAAAAGGGGCTGCTTTCCAAAGGCAAGAAACTGCTGAAAAGGCTGGGCGCGGTGAAATGACCCCTGCGCTCCGGACAACCTCCAAACCCATGTCGTTTTCTTTAATCCCAAACTAGGGCTTTCATGACTCAAGTACTTCCTAAAAACCACTCTTCTCCCCTGACACCAGTAGAGAAATGCACTTTGCACGCCGCCCGCTCGGCCGCGGCAAGGACGGAGCTGTGCGCTCCCGTCTGTGGCCAGGCGCCTGTTGCCCGGGCCGGGAGGCGCGTCTCGGCTCGTGGGGCCCGCGGCTCTCGGGCTCGCCCCTGCCCGGGCTGCCAGTCTCTGTGTGTTTGTCATCTGCCCCTAAAGGAATGATTTCAGCTCCTCCCTCCTCCAAACGCTTGCCTCACGTAACTGACTGCTCTCGGACTCCCAGCCCAGCGCCCGGTGTCTGCCTTACGATGCACATGGTCTGTACGTCAATAAAGCCGCAGTGTGTACTTGTGTGTGTCGTGTCCACCCTGCCCCTGCCTGCACAGCCCCCGCCGACGCGGCCGGGCCCAGACGCTGGGCTCCACTCGCACAGCCAGCCAGGCCACACACACCCCCACCGCCCACACACACTTGACTCAAATTATTCAAAACAGAAGAGAAAGTACTGTGGTTGGATCAAGTACGGCTCCTCCTCCCTGCAGAGCCCCAGTCGCCATTTGTTACGCTGGGGCCGCCGCCTCAGTGCCCCTGCGAGCCCTGGGGTGACACACACAGGCAGGGCAGCCCCCCACACTCCCACCCCGCGGCCCTTGGGCTGGAGCCTGGCAGGGCTGCCGGCGGGGCCTCCATGGCTCCTTTTGTAACTGTTCACTTGTAAATTGTTTTTACTCTTTATACACTTTCCAGACTGCCTTTCTTTTGTAACTTATGGTTTATACGAGTGACCAGGCCTCCTCCGGGTCTCAGAAACCGCGCTGTGTGGGGCGTGGCGCTGTGGTGGGCCAGGCCGGAGATGGGCCCGGACTGTGCGGTGTGTGCTTGTGCACAGCAGTGTAAGATGTTTTATAGAAATAAAATTTGTTATTTTATACAATGCTGTTTTGTCTGTATTTTGTTTTACTTTTCATGGGAACAAAATGGAACTCTTCCCTCATATGTGCACGAGGAAATGCCACAGCTGCCCCCTTCTGGGGTGACTGCTTCTAGAGGGAATTGACCTATTTGGGGGTCAGTCATGAGTTGGTCACTGCTGGGCCGGTTTCTGGTTTGAAGGATGCAGGTGACTGTGAGGGGCCGTTAAGCTGCCGCCTGTGTGAACCAGGAGCAGCAGAGGGCCCAGGGGTTGAACCAGGGCCCTGAAGGGTGGAGGGTGGCACATGACAACAGAGTCCAGGTGGTGTAGGGACAGAGTAGGGGGGTCTAGCAGTGCCACAAGATGTCAGGCTGAACTCACCTGCAGCTCCAGAGGACACAGTAAGGTATAAAACAGGCTGTTTCAGAAAGGGACCCCAAGAGCACCTGGAGGTTGGCCCGAAACAAGGGCCAAGGGCAGACTGTGGGCTCAGCTGCCTGCCCCACTCGGTCCCAGCACAAAAGGCTGCCCACACGTGGGTGGGGGCTATTGGCACCATGGGTGCGGGGAGGGTGGCTGTGGGTGGAGGTATTCCCACTGCCTGTGTGATGCCCACCAGAAGGGACTGTCTTCCTGGAAGCACATGAACTCTCTACTGAGGGAAGGGCAGTTGCCGGAAAAGTGCACCTCTCTATTTTACTGCGCATTTACTGTTTGAGTTGGAATAATGGCTCCAAATAGAACTAAATCTAACCTTTGAAATCTTGTATCTAGTAATGAGGGTGTCAACTTGAATTAACTATCTGAAGATGCCTGTCACAGCATCAGGCTGCACTGCTGCACAGACAGGCTTTCTACATGGCGCAGGGCAGGGGCTGCCCTGACCAGATCCTAGGAGGAGCACATAAAGGACCCCAATGGCCCTAGGGGAACAGGGTTAATTGCTGCGGCCTGTGCCATAGCAGAACTCCTTCCTGGAGGCTGGGGCAGTCGGGAGCGCCTCCCACAGGTATGCTGGGCTCCTGGCTCCTACCTTCTAGGACTTGCCTTTGGGTTACCATTTCTTTACCAATTGCTACAGGGGCTCACCTTCCCCTACTTCTCAAAGGTACAGAAGGCGTGGGCTGGGCTCCTCCTTCCCGAAGCACCTCAGGAGGCAGGATGGCCACTGGCGAAGCTGCACAGAAGCAGGCAGAGCCGGGAGGCAGGCCCACCGCCACCCCCATGTGTCTTCCGTGACTGCAGTCCCTGTCAGCCTGCATGCCTGTGCAACGCAGGCCCCAGACAGGCAGGCAGGCCTGCCAGAGTGTACCCAGTGCAGGAGTATGCAGTGTGGGGGCCTTGGCCCAGGGTGAAGCCAGTCAGGGCCACAGGGCTGAGCATGTCCAGCCCCTTCTCACTGTTGCGTGAGACTGTACGGGCGCCCTCAGCACTGCAGTTTTCCCACAAGTGCCCCCGACCGCTATTTCATGGCTCTCTCAGTAATCACACCTTTAACCCAAAGGCGCAGGTTCAAGCCTGCTAAGAATGAGACTTCAATGACTTAAGCTGCTAACTAGTGATAAAAATGAACACCCGACACTCAAATCACCTGTCGTGACTGGGTGAGCCTGGTGACTGCCGTTATGGGTCTCCTTTGCGGGGCCTTCTTTGGGAACCACGGCCCCCCCACCCCCAGTGCTGTAAGTCAAGGAGGTTAAGGAACCTGAGCAAAGAAATAGGAACAATGTTACTAGCTCAAAGAGCTGAAAGGAGAGCAAAAGAGCTTTGGTATTTACACACTGAGACCAGAACAGCAAGAGTGGGCAGGATGAGCCCACACTGAGTTATCCCAAGGCCCTTGGCCACTGGGGGGTTGGGCAGGGTCCACAGTGCCCAGGCATCTCTAGGCCACACTCAAGGAGCCCCCCAGGCAGACAGTGAAGACCAGGCAGCCCAAGCTGGCCCTGCAACATTTCCTAAAGGTTTCTGTAAGTAGGCTGAGGTGAGTAATTCAACGCCCGCTTCACAGCAGCACAGGCTTCTCAGCCTCAGGCTCGGGTCGCCACTGTCCTAGAGCAGCTGCTGTGCGTGCGCCAGCTCCTGACAGATGGCCCGGCCTTGAGTCCCAAAGTGACACTATTATATCTTTTGAAAATGGGATGGTTTCTTTTGACTGAATGTTATCTCATGAAGTGAAAAGAAAATGCAAATGTTTTCAGTAAAATCAAAAGCTACCCTGCTATTCAAATAAGGTGAAAATCACATCAATTTTATTTTATAACAGAATATCCCAGATGCAAAGCAAAATAAATAGTAATGTTAATATAAACTACCGACCTCCTGTTAAAGAATCTTAAAATATTTCGTTGGACATAAATTTAAAACTTTTCAACTATCTTTTATTGAACCCCCTTCACCCCCAAAATGAAATAGAAAATGAACTTACTCCATCAGCATCTTGCACTTCTCCTAACCTGTGCAGGGTTTTAATGGTGGCTGTTCTCTTTAAAATGCGAGAGAGCAGATATCCAAATAAAACCCCACTACGGCTGCAGTGAGCCTCCTACTTTATGCCTTCTCACTCCTTTAAATTCAAAATAATAAATATTTCAAAAATAAGGTTAATACAGGGTCAAGTAAGACTTGCTCACTCGTGAAAGTCCTTGGAAGTAAGTCCTGACTTTTCAGATCTGTTTATAATATAAAGTCCCTTATCCACATATTTTCAAAATCAAGAAAGAAATTCTTACAACATATTTATGAGAGGTAAACAAGGTAAAATATAAAACCTTAATTTTTATCTCTAAGTCAGTTAATAGCAATGTTTCAGAAACAAGACGCTAGATCTCCTTTTCCCTCCCCAAGTTTCACCAGAAAGATAACTGTTACCCAAAGAAAGAGAAAGCTTAAAAAAATCCCAGTTGTAGTTTCCCAAGGAAGGCTGTGCCAGTCCTGCGGGCTAGAGGTAGTATAGCCGGTTTGACAGCGACAGGTTGGGCTCCCTGTGGATGCTTTGGCCCACGAGGAAGGCCAGCTTGTGGGCATACTGGCAAGGGGCGGGGACACGGATGACACCCTGTGTGAAGAGGAGAAGGGGTCTGTCACTCTAAGTCGCGGAACTCAGGGTGGACTAAAGACCTATGCCCACACCGCGACTGCACTCTGTGGGGGATCCCTGAGGGTGATAAATGCTGCCAGGCTGGGGCACTGACCGGCCAGTTGTAGTAGACATGGCACAGCTTGTAGGTCAGCCTCTGGATGTGGTCTGGCTTCAGGCCGCTGCTGTCGTAGATGACGTTGTAGTGTGTGGGGGACACGCTGCCGCTCCGCACAGCTTGGCTGACGATGAAGAAGTCATACCTGTGGTCACAGGGGAGAGCCCCACACAAAAGCTGCGTCTCCTCGAAAGCTAAACGCTGACGATTTGCTTCCTACCTTTACGCTCAGGTCACCCAATCTCTTCAGGCCATACTGTGCTTGAATCCAGCCCCTGCTGTCCCTGGACCAGCTGAACGCTCATGTGAAGCCTACTTGGGGCTACGTCTTGGACATCTTCGAGTCTTCTGGGTATGGGTGAGCACTGGACGGAGCTGTGATATAGCAGCATGTGATATAGCAGCATCTGGGCCCCAGGGGGGCAACAGGACAGGCTCCAGACAGCCACCACCCAGAGAAGGGGAGAGCCTGGTCTCAGGCACTGTCCTCCCCACCAACAGGCCTTACCACGGGAATTTTCTCCTTCAAGTTGTTATGTAACACACGGACTCATGCAAGTCCTCAAAGACTAAAATGCTGATCAAAGAGGACAGAGGATATGGAGAAGGTGAGGCGAGTCAGTGTGGGGCCTGCTTCCTGACCAGTATGCCGTGCCCTCGCTGATAAAGACTAAGGGGAGTATGTAATTTGTCATGTCCACTGCAACAAGACAGATGGCTAACCTGGAACTGACCAACAACAGATCACAGTGTTTTCAGAGAAGGAGGCATTCAAAGAGGTGAAAGGAGAAGGCCAATCCCAAAGAACAGAGCCAGCGACAGAGCCACCAGGAAGCCTTGTTCTCAGTGCAAGCGATGAGGGACAACCCAGCTGTCATTCAAAGTGGACCCCTCCAAGTGTTGAACAGCGTCCGCAGCCGTGTATTTTAATAGTGTCTAGAAAGGAACCTTTTCATACCTCACAATTTCACTTGGATTCTGCTGCACCTGCTACCTCAGGTGTGTCTTCAGGTCAGTGCACCCGGCCTTTGGCTGTCAGGCAGCGGCACCATCATGTGAGAAGGACCCTTGTTCTGAGTGGAGCCTGTGGGGCTGACTTCCTACCTAGTATTTTAACCTCGAGATCTCTCCCTTGTGAGGACCCCAACATCTGCCTCAGAAATCCAAGGGGAAGCACCTTGGCATACCCACCATCAGGTAGAGGCCTGACTGATCAGACTAGCACCTGCACTCACGTTGTTCTCCCCAGCACCCTGTAGGGCACCTCCTACCTGGGGCCACTCCCTGGCCTAGTACTGTTTCCGTCTCTAGCTGCCCTTTGTAAATAAGGCTCCAAAGCCTTTCCCTGTTAAGACAGAGCCCTAAGCACTAACTCTCTTGGGGGCATGGCCAGAACCTCGACCTACTCACCGTGCAGCCCCCTAAGGCACTTGGAGGAGCTGAGGCAGCCAGGCCCATGGCCCTCAGGGGTTGCTCCTCGCAGAGCGTGCCCGGGCACACGCAGACTCAGAGTGCTCAGCAGCCACCTCTGTCCCTGCCTCTCTGGCTGTCTCCAACTGAACAGCCAACACAAGTCTAAGAGTGAGGGAAGAGCAGCAGTGGTCCTTCCCCTCTGGGTGCATGGCAGGCTGGGGCAGTGTCTGCCTTCACAGGCAGATGCCCAGAGACGACTGCTCACCACATAAAAACTAGTAAGTCATGTTTCAGCCACAACACTAGACCAGCTGACCCAAAGGCTTTAGCAATGACAAGAAAGTAAGAAAAAAATGTGTTCCAGTTGCTAGTGCGCAGGTGCCGTGCTCAGCCCAGCCAGCTATAGCACTCACCCATCATGCAGAACTTACCACTCTGGTCTGGTGACCTCCACGTCAATGACTGTTCCGGGAAGAGGGTTTTGAAGTCTCCCTCCAGACTGGGCGAAAAATCGGGCATTCACTCGTTTTTTCACCACGATCACAGTTAGTCTGGGGCTTAAAGATGACAATGAACATCACTCCATTTGCTCAGTAACATTTCCAGGCAAGGAATTATTCACATTCATCTACACCCCAACACCCTTCTGGGGCACGTTATCTGCCCAAGCTGGGAAGGAGAGTCCATAACTTGTAAGGTCCAGGAATAAATTGTGGGCAGAAAATGACAGTTACGTGCAAGTACCTGATAACATAGGTCTAAGTGTTTAATCAAGTGATCCAGTTTATCATGTCACCTATCACACTGATATGAGCAGTCAAGTGAGCCTCCGATGGCTGCCATTTCAGATGCCTGAGGGTGCCTCTGTATGCCTCTGCTGGATAAGCTGACGGATGTCTCAAAGCCTAACTGAGTGCCTTTCAAAATTGTTACTTCACAAATGTCAAGGGTTAGCCTGTCTCTGGCCAGTTCCCGGCTACCACCCACTGACCTGGCCAAACCTCCTCTCCTCCTCTCCCAGCCCTGCTCTTCAGCTGCATCTTCTGGGCCCCCTTCAAGAACTTTTAGCTGACTCGCATTAAACCCTGTCCCCTACCTGGGAGACAGCCAAGGGCAGGCAGCATCACCCTACCACCTTCCAGGCCATAACCCACCCACCCTCTGGTCCCCAGCGACCCAGCATCTCCAACAGCCTCGCCTGCACGCACGCTCCTTCGGGATGACAGGCAGAGTGCCTGCACAGTGCTGCCATGCAACCCCGGCCACATGAGAGGTCAGGCCCGGTGGATGGGGTTTTCTGGGCACAAAGGCCCAAGCTGTGAGTGGCTACTCAGTAACTCTGCACAGCAGCAGTGACCAAGTTCAGGGGTGGGGAGGCAGCGAAATTGCAGAGACAGAGACACCCTAGAAACGTTAATACCTGTCGAGCCTGTGCTGTGCCCCACAGCTGCCTGGGCAGAAGAGCCACACTCAGGAGAGGGCACAGGCAGACATGGTGGCAGAAGACAAGCTGCCAGTATCTGTGGCTGTGACCTGCTCTTACACTGAATATCAAGTCAGCTAAACTAAGTCTTTACAAAGAGTCAAAACTTCAATTAAAAATTCAATGTCAGGCTCTCCTTGGTGCAATAGGTTAAAGAACCACATTATGAAGCTCTCCGCAGCCACTGCAGCATGAGTTTGATCCTGGGCCAGGGAGCTGGCCCACATGGCGTGGCAGACCTCTCCTGACCCGCCCGCTTCCCCCTTCAGCAGTGTACTTCGTTGATCTGCCTGTTCTGCTCCTGTCTCTGGTGAATCCTCTCACCCATCACACTTCTGGCCTGTACCCCAGTTCTGGAAGCATAAATAAATAAATTTAAAAAAAAATTTCAATTCCATGATTCTCAGGAAAGCTGCAAATCCCCAAGCACAAGCATCATGCTCCCTTGCACTATGCAGCACTGTGGGCATTCCCCCAGGCTGATGATGAGTGGACACTCGCCTGGGCTCTGGCCCTGTGCGATGCACTAAACACAGTCTTCTTTGTTCCTGTCAGTAAGCTGGTGAGCTGCCTTCCACAGATAGTGCCAGGCCTGAGCACCTGCATGTTCTCAGGCACTTGTAGCTCGGCAGCCCCCAAGCACCAGCACAGCACATAGTGGACACCACGCAGGCAGCCCCTCGGCGGTTCAAGCTCTCCTCCCTGCACCGGTCTCTTGTCAGCCACAGGGGTGCCAGGCCCTGGCACTGGTCCTCACTGGGCCTAATGACTGACCCTCCTTGGGGTGGGCAAATTCTGCCAAGATTTTGAGATTAAAAACTCAGAGGCTCGGCCCTCCCTGGTGGCGCAGCGGGTTAAAGCACAGCATTGAGAATCTAAAGCCGCTTCCGCATGAGTTCGATTCCCGCCTGCCCTGGAGGTGACCACATGGCGTGGCAGACCTCTCCTGACCCGCCCGCTGCTCCCCTCAGCAGTGTACTTTCTCGATCTGCCTGTTCTGTTCCCCGCTCTGTCTCTGGTGAAGCCTCTCACCGCCCCTGAGCCTCTGGCCTGTACCCCAGTTCTGTATGACCAAATAAATAAATCTTTAAAAAAAAAAAAAAGATGTTACATTATTTAAAAAAAAAAAAAACTCAGAGGCTCACAAACTTGGAAGCAGATGCTTCCCAGGATGGCCAGGCCATGCACCCCAAGACCCAGCTTGGCCACCCCTGGGAGCTGGGAGCTTCACTATGACCTCTGCTCCTCCTTTCTAGAAGACTGGTAGGAGGGAAAAGGAAACAAAGACCAGAAGAAACTCCGTGCTGGAATGAGAAGACGAGGACCGTAGTGGCTCCTGTTACCCAGCCTGCTCCTACCACGCCTCCCTCGCGCAGGGGAATCCAAATGACACACCAAGGCAGGTGGACACTGCTCCAGGGACCAGAAGAATGCGACACCAGCGCCATGTTTCTAATAGGAAAATACAAGCACCGAAGGGCACAGGTAAGAACGTTTACTTTCCTTGCCAAAGTATTTTGAAAATGCCTTTTGACCCCAAACACCACCACTTCAAGAGACGAAGTACCCTGATATGCTATGAAAATGTGCTAGCAAAAGCCTCTCATTTGAGACACCTGGAGAATTAGCAAACCAGCACCACTTGCTGGAGAGTTGGCACCCGGGATCTGGCCAAAGACAGTGCTCCAAGTCCGTGAGTTCCACTTGGGCCGTGCTAAACCACACTGCCCCAAGCTATGCCAAGGGCCTTCAGCGTGGTCGCCTTGTTTCTTATAGTGACAGGTCACTACAGGCCTGGCAAAAAGTGTTTAAATACACATGTGCAAGTAAGCCAGCCTTCCAGATTTTCTAAATATCCTTAAAAATCAAACCCGCATCTTTAATTTTTTTGCATTAAATTCTTTTTCTAAACGTTTATTTATGCATACAGAACTGGGGTAGAGACCAGAGGTGCAGGGGCGGTGAGAGGCTTCACCTGAGACAGAGAGGGGAACCAACCAGGCAGACTGACGAAGTACACTGCTGAGGGGAGCGGCGGGCGGGTCAGGAGAGGTCTGCTGTGCCATGTGGGCCATCTCCCGGGCTGGGGATCGAACACTGAAATGGCTAGCTTGCAGTGCTGTGCTTTACCCTGTTGTGCCAGCCGGGAGGGCCACACTAAATTCTTAACAGACTCACAATCTGATAAGAGTGCAAAAGTCAAACAACGCACCTAGTAAATAGCTACCCTGAGATGGCCTGCAGCTAGGGTCAAGTGGCACGGACAACTGGGCCAGGATGGCAGAGGGAAAAGATTGGCCTGGGCCTCACAGGAGAACAAAGGCAGCACTTGGGGGACTAAGGCACATCGAGCACCTCCACAGGGCAAGGGAGACCATGACCCCTGAGACCAGACATGCTGCCCACGCACTGATGAAGCACTAGCCCCGCCCAGTTCCCAGAGTTTTTAAATGAGTATTCACTATACAAACTCATCAAGGAAAATCAAGCTGGAGCTCTACGGGCACTTAGTCCACCAGCCAGCCAGTGGAAACCTCTGGCTGTCCTGGAGTCCCTGGCCCTATGCCAGGCCCATGATGGTAGAGGCATGTGGCTCCCCACAGCTGCCCCATAAGAAATCTCCACTAGGACCGCTGTCCCCCAACCCACGCAGACCCCAATATGCCCATCATGTGAGGGTCTCACTGAGCTTTTCATTGACCACTTCAAAGATAATTTCAGAGACTGCATCCTGACTGCGTGCTCACTTGTAGCCTCTACCGACAGATTTCAGGCAGTCCAGAAACTGTGGCACCTCGTAGTTGACCAGAGTCTTGAGCTGCCCATCTCCCACACCGTCCCGGTACACGACAATGCGGCTCGGCATGTACTCATTGCAGCTGTTCCAAGCCCTCAGAGCAGCTGCAAGACAGAAAAACTTTAAACACATGACAAAAGCGGGGTTTCTCTTCCAGGCATTTTTCACTGAACACAGCTCTCAGGTTAACATCCTGAAGACCCTGCCCGCACGCAACTGGGGACTGACCTTGCAAGCAGACCTTGAGTCCGTCGACCAGCTCCTGCCCGCGATCTTGAAACACACAGCGAGAGAACCAGCTGTCCGGAGAGAATAGAAAGTGAGATATGGGCGCCTGGACACCGTGCCTTTTCAGTGATTCTAGATGTTTACTTTACTTTTGGCAATTCATTATCTTTTAACTTCCTTTAAAGATATTTGCTAACATCTCAAATGCTTGACAAATCTTAAAATAGAATTAACAGGATATAGCAAATGCTTTATAGACACCAGACTGTGATTTCCACTGTTGCATGAGCGTCAGTGGTGCGGCCGCCCCCGGGCTGGCAGCTCCCAGCCTCTCTTGCTACTGGGCTCTCGAGAAACCACACTCCTGAAGAATAAAGACCTTAAAACACCCCATAGGGATGCCAACACATCAGTGTCCTTGCTTTTTGCTCTTCTTGTCTTGGCTGAGTCCCAGGAAGAGCAAAGAAAATCTGTTCTGAAACACAGGAAGCTGGGAAAATGGAAGAGGCTTTTCTGGAATAACACTGAAGACAGACCCCGAAGTTGCATGTAGGGGGTTGACTAAAAAGTATTAAAGATGTTTTTGGAGATAGTCACATTTAATGAGACCTCCCTCCCAGTATGAATAATTATAAAATAATCTGAACTACATTAGACTATCACAGATTAAGGGTCTGTGATGGTACTAATGGTAGAGTAACAACTCTTTCCTAATGCTTTTTGTGGGACTTCACGTAACACAAAGCATGAGGTTGAGAAGAATTAACATGGCTCCTGTGGCGGGCCCCAGAGACCCCTGTGCTTGGGCTTCTGCTCCCTGGCCCACATCTTGCCCTCTTACCGGGTCATCCCCTCATTGATGCTCGCAACAAATCCTGCAATTGACCTCCGTCCAGCGGTGGTGTCGTGGTAACAATCAATGCCAACTATCATGGCTAGTTTTAGCTTTAATAAAAAGGGTTACAATTTATATACAGCAGAATGCCAGCAATACTTAAAAGTAAAACCACTTTCTAAAATAACAATGACACTTGCATCCACCCGCTCAGCCACACTTACGGGCATATCCACCCTCCAGAGCTCCCCACCCATCTTGCAGTTCATCTGCAGGGCGATCTTGGTGGCGATGGCCATGACGGTCTGCTGCTTGCCCAAGGTCCGTGCCACCACACACTGACTGGGAGTAGGGCAATCCGTGCACAGGTACTTTTTAATGGCATCGTACTTGTCTTTCCGATTACTTGATAACAGACAAACGACCTAAAAACATAAAATATCTTAAAAAAAATCAGGAACCTGCCCATGGAGCAGATGGAGTACAAGCCCTTCTGTAGGTGAGGCAGCCATACACGGGCTGCTGGATCCTGCCACACAGCTCTCACTGAAGGCTTCTGGATGCGGCTTGTCATATTCAACTAAGTGACAGATGCTAATGAAGGAGATAAGCCAATGCCTCAAGGCTAAATGCCATTAAAGCTTGAGAGCAAAGTTAAATATACTCAGTGACCAGCTTGGAATAATTCAGAAGTAGAGACCAGGACAAAACAAGTCAGTAGAAGCTTAGAGGTGGACAAACAGAACATTTTCCAAGATGGTCATTTCACAGTTAGAATTCACCTAGTTTCAGGACTTTTAAACCTTTAAAGCTCTAGTTTGAGAACCTATGAAATTTCTAGGAAGCCCATTGGAAATTCTGAGGACAAAATGGCATGCCTAAAATAAATATTCCCTTCCCCCCAAATGGGTTGATGTTGTTCAAAAGGCACAAAGTCCCAGTTACCAGCTGAGTAAGTTTTGGCGACTTTTCCTGCCTGGCAGCGGGGATGGTGGTGCATCACAGACCGGAAAGGCCCAAGAGGAGATCATAAATGTTCTTGTCCCACCCCCACAATGATGTGAGACGGAGGAGTTACCTGACCCTTGTGTGGAGCAAATCAGCAATACTTAGACATATCACATTGTCATGCTATTTGCTTTATGCTTATACGATGCTGATTACAGCTCAATAAAGGTGGAAAACCAGCAGACCTAGACTCCTGACCACATTCCAGGGATTCAACTTAAGTTGTGAGATCAATCCAATTTTTACTTTCCATTTACATTTCAGATTATTGCTCTTTTCTATGGTCCCCCACTCCAAAGTGCTGGGCCCACTTCAGGTGAGAATGTCAAGGATCTGCCTGGGGCTCTACTGTAGCAAGGGCTACAGCAGGGGCACAGAATCGTGTGCTGTGCAGACACCCCACAAATGTGACTAAACCTCTCGACTCCCCTTGCCCCCATGCACACCATCCTCCATATCACCTGGATGGACAGGCAAACACATGCACAAGTACATCAAAATAAAAGCTAGAAATTTTAGGAGGGTGGTTCCATTTCTATTTTCAAACTTTCAAGCTGATTTCAATATAAGCAGCTTACAAACTTCTGGCTTGTCTGCCCACTAAGACATCTACTGTCCCACAAATGTCATTTACACTTATTTATTCTACGTGTCCTGAACAATTAATTGTGGCTATTACTTTCTGCCTTGCTCCCCCCCCCTAATTTCCAGAATAACTAAAGTATGATTCAGAATGAAACAAAAAAGCTTGGTTTCTCACTTCTTGTATGACAACAACTCCTAGGAACTCAAGGAGAGGAAGTGTTCCTCTGGCCACTTTGTGAAGGTAAAATGTATTTTTTTTTTTTTTTGGCCAGTTTGGAATCTAATAGCGACTTCCAAAAAAATGGGCTTAAGTCATTAAGTGTTAAGCAATATTCCTGTGGAACAATTCATCCCAACTTAGCTGCTAAGGACGGATTACTTACAATCTGGGTGTCTGATGTAACTTTCTGCTGTAAGACTCTTAAATAGGCTTCAGTTCTATCATCCACTTCAATCCTAGAATGGAAGTACATAATCCAACCTTCAGAGAAGGTAAGAAAGAATGCACTGGGCCCTCTCTGGTGGCGCAGCGGGTTAAAGCACAGCACTGAGAAGCTAAAGACACTTCAGCATGAGTTCCATCCACGGCCCTGGAGGTGACCTACATGGCACAGTGGATCTCTCCTGACCCGCCCCCTCAGCAGTGTACTTCGTCAGTCTGCCTGTTCTGCTCCCCGCTCTGTCTCTGGTGAATCCTCTCACCGCCCCTGCACCTCTGGCCTGTACTTCAGTTCTGTATGCATAAATAAATCTTAAAAAAAAAAAAAAGAAAGAATACACCATGTCCACAGAATTCCCTACATTCTAACACATGAAACATTTCTGGATAAAAGAAGCAACAGCAGGCATAGTCACTGGTTGCTTCTAGACCTGCCACAGCCAATACCTGAGTCTGCATCGGCTTCTGCCCATCTACCACCACATTCCTGATCACCCCATTCCAGGGAACATCAGATCTTTACATGATCCAGTTAGCATGTTTAGTAGTTTTATACTTTTGACTTCTCCCACTCTCCAAATGATCACTAATTAATTTTCAGAGTAGAAATGACGTGATCAACTTACATTATTGCTTTTTTCATTTGTATGCCCATGGCTGGTGTAACTTTAAATAGATTTTGTATCAATGAATTGGCTGCTTCATAATTTCTTCGAGTGTAGATCAACAGCCAGTTATCTAGTGGTTTAACACTAATTAGTGGTGCACCTCTTGTTTCTTTAGACCAATCTGCAAATTGTGGATTGTAGTCAAACTAGAAGAAAGTTCAGAGACACTGTAAATTTCAATGCAAGTTTTCGGTGATAGAGCCAAAAAGTCTGCAATAATTCTACCATCACATATTTTGAACTTTCAATTCTATTCTTAAATTTAGACTCTAAGGAATGATAGACACCCTCGGGGGGGAAGGCACAAAGGCATACCCAGAGGACGATGGCGGTTTTACCTAAACTAGACCACACTCACAGCCTGTCCACAGCTGGTCCTTCCTAAGAGCTGCTGCAGCTTTCTCATTCATCTTTTCAAAAATCTTACAAAGCTAGGTGTTACTTCTCTCATAACAAAGACACACAAAACCATGACTCTGGAAGTTAGGTAGCCTGCCTGAGATGTCAGTTGATGAAATGAAGCCGCCAAACACTTGACAGCGGAGCAGATGGAACCACACTTGCAGGCACAGCGGCTGACATGCCCCACCCACCTCCCTACAACCCTCTTGTGGGAACAGAGATTTTTATTATTTCTAAGAGGATAATAAAGACAACTCTAGTCAATTCATTTTACTACATGATTATGTTACTACCTTTATAACATTTAGCAGTCAAGAAGGGCATAGCTTTCTACAAAGTATTTTTAAATGTGGGTACTTGGAAGTGTTTCTCTTTTTTTTTTACAATACCTGTTTCATTTTCTAAAGACAGAGAAATTATAGACAGCTTTCTGGTATTTGACATACATCCCTACAAATGGTCTGAGCAGAAATGAAGTCAATTAGGCAGGAGTTTCCCCTGTGAAAGATCATTTCAGTGGCAGACAAAATCATCAATCCAATTTGATCCTCACAATTCTTCTACACCTTGAGTAACTTAGGCTATTCAAAAGCAATTAAGCCTCCTTCAGCTATTCCTACAGGCTGTTTTGAGGTCCCAGCTACACAGCTCTCTGACCCAGTGCTTACTCCATTCTCCTCTTTTTGCAAGACTGGCGTTCACCTTAGCTGTGGGGAGTGGGAGGGGCGGGAGAGGAGAAAGGTGTGGAAGGACTTTGAGGCACCTTATTGGGACTCTGATCTGACAATTTTAAGAACTGCCTTACTGTTTTTCCACCTTGGTGAATCTTTTCTGCTTGCAAAATTCTTCCTGAAAAGGACAGTAAGTTGGAGTCAAAGCTCAAACCCCAGTCTCGAAGCTCTCTCTGAACATTATCATCTCTGCAAATGCAACACATCAAATTGAAGGAAGCAAAGCAAAAACTGACATACATGCAAACAGGTCCAGGCCAAACTAGTCCCTTCTTGTGCTTCTCTCAGGACTGAGTCTGAGGATGTCAAAGAGAGGCTCCTCTATTTTCCTCTTACCACACCTGTTCCCCCCACTTTGTGAACTCGCTGAATGGAAACTTCTATGTAGAAAACAGAACTTTTTTTTGACTAGACATATCCCCAAAGGTTTATCTCCTCCTCAAAGTAACTCCCTGATCTAATAAGCAGTAGAAATGGATCTCTCCCAAGCCTCCTCATTTCTGTTCCATTTACCACACCTTTTTCTAACAGAACAGGCCAGGGCTGCAGAGTTCAGCTTTCTTACTTCCTGACAAACGGAAGCCTTACCTAGAAGCATGGAGAACAAGCCCACCCAATTAATGCAAGTAGGAAAGAAATGTAAAACGGCCTTTTGCTGTTTCTCCCAGAAAAGCCACTCCCTGAACCTACATAACACAAAGGGACATGTGGGCCACTTACTTGTGGATGTAGTCGATGAGTCTTCCTACTTCACGCTGCCTTTGCTCGGGAGTCAGCCTTGTGTGAACAGCTAAGTCTTTCATCACATTAAAATCATTACGCATTTTATCAGTTAGACCTTTAAATAATGAAACATTTAAAGGCTATGGTTAAAGAAATAGAAATCATGCCAAATATCTGCAGAGTAGTGTGGTGATAAGCTAAACAAACTCATTCCAAGGTGAGGAAGCTGTCTGCTAGCTGTGGTGGGCAGTGAGGGGTGTGAGGAACGTGTGCTGACTTCTAAAGAGAATGAATGAATATCTGGGGGTTTCATCTGAGTAAACACAAGTCAAGGTACCTGTGAGGTAGCAGAGCTCAGGAATGAGCATGGCAGGGCCTGGCAATGTGCCACCAGGGCCTCTCCTGCGCTTAGGCTGACTGACCAAGACCGGCTGCTTCAAGTCAGTGATCTCTTGGTTATATTGCTAGTCAAGAGAAGAAAGGTGTCACTGTTCATCACTGTTCACAGTCAGTGCCTTTGGGGATATGTCTGGACAAAAAAAGGTTTTGTTTTCTTAAATAACAATTGATGACAATAGCAAACCCAGTTATCAGTTTCCAAGTACAGTTTTGAAAGTGCAGTTTTAATCCTCCCGGAATAGGTTGCCATTTACATGCTGTGGTGAGCAAGTTGTGCTGGGTGGCACATTTTTTTAAATGAAGAACAGATGTATGAATTTTTAGCTAAGTCTAAGTGAATGAGTTGAATAACTGGGGTACTATAAAGGAAGGAAAATGAAGGCAGCATGGATAGCAAGGTAGCACGAGTGTATACAACAGTCCCCAGGGGGAAAGGCCTGTAGAGCTGGGTCGGAGCAGCTCTACAGTAGCCTTAGTTACTCACTCAGTCTCTCACACCAGCACCTGAGAGCCCTCACCTGGGCTGAGTCAGGCACACAGACCTTTGTGGAAATGACTTCCCTGCACCAAGCAGCGCACTCCTCGGGGCAGCACATGCTCGTGTGGTCACATGGATGGCCCCTTTGAGACACCGAGACCTCTCAGGACAAGCCAGCAGCTGGGACTCAGACATGCATAGGCGGAGTCAGAAATCTGGCAGTCACTGATGTACACGTGAAGTCTGAGCACAGATGAGAGAGCGGGGAGGGGGTAAATCGAAGGTCACTGGGCCTGAGGTGGGGCTTTTAGGGATGTCAGCACTGAAAAGGTGACTCAGAAAGAAGCGCTGGCCACTGTCAGGAGAATTTGCCGACTTGCTTCAGGCTCAAATCAAACTTTTGGCGGATACTCCGCTGCATTCGCCATTGATGTACATATGCCAGATCTTCCCACCCTGATCACGCTCTTCATGACAAAGCAGTGGACAAGGCTAAGGCGCTTTTCTCAGAGGAACATCTGGTGCCCAGAAAAGCCTGGGTGATGTGGTGGGGAGAGCTCAAGCAGGAAGTGCGCTCCAGTGTGCACAGAATCAGCCCACGTTCTGTGTGGTGACAGTGGGGTGCCCTGTCTGGAAGCTAGGCCGGCTGTGGTAACCTTTGAACAGTAACTTTTGGCACAGCTTTATCCCTAAATTGAGAAGAGCACTGGAGGCAAGGTATAGTAAAAAAATAACCGCCAGTCAGTGAATGTTCATACAGGCTCTATACACGTACTATTTCAGTGCTCAAAGATAAGCAGGCCTCTGAATCTTCAGAGGACCTTGCTCCATTTGACAAGAACTTGTTAAAATTTCAGGAAAACTCAGCAGTTAAATAAAATCTTAAAATTTGTCTTTGAAATACTAAGACTTATTCCATTTCCCCCCTGCTTTCCATAGGTGATTGCCTTTTCTAAATAGCTAGATGAGTTATTGTGTAAATCTTGTGTCCAAAAAATGCATTTGATTAACAGTCTCTGTAGTGTCATTTTTCTGCATGTCTGTACTGCCTGATCTTAAGCACCTCTGCTGTGGACAGCAGGGAAGGCTGCTCTGAGGGGAAAGGGATTCTGTGCGCAGCAGCACTAGAACCTGCTCTTTCTCTGGGCAAAGTGAGTAAAGGCCAAGCCTCACCTCAGCTTGACTTCCCTCTCATTTCCTGCACCTTAGCCTTGTCCACTGCTTTGTCATGAAGAGCGTGATCAGGGTGGGAAGATCTGGCATATGTACATCAATGGCGAATGCAGCGGAGTATCCGCCAAAAGTTTGATTTGAGCCTGAAGCAAGTCGGCAAATTCTCCTGACAGTGGCCAGCGCTTCTTTCTGAGTCACCTTTTCAGTGCTGACATCCCTAAAAGCCCCACCTCAGGCCCAGTGACCTTCGATTTACCCCCTCCCCGCTCTCTCATCTGTGCTCAGACTTCACGTGTACATCAGTGACTGCCAGATTTCTGACTCTGCCTATGCATGTCTGAGTCCCAGCTGCTGGCTTGTCCTGAGAGGTCTCGGTGTCTCAAAGGGGCCATCCATGTGACCACACGAGCATGTGCTGCCCCGAGGAGTGCGCTGCTTGGTGCAGGGAAGTCATTTCCACAAAGGTCTGTGTGCCTGACTCAGCCCAGGTGAGGGCTCTCAGGTGCTGGTGTGAGAGACAGAGTGAGTAATTGTAGAGCTGCTCCGACCCAGCTCTATAGGCCTTTCCCCCTGGGGACAGTGGTGCTGACCACCTATTTCCCACCTCTCTACAGTGCTGGGAGGAGGCAGGATGGCACATACACTCCCTCCCTTCCCTTCATGAGAACTCTACCAGCAGGAGATGGCACTTGAATCATTTTGTGGTGATCATCTTGATACCCTGGACTGCCATGATGAATATGTTTATAAGCACCTTTCAGAGCAACTTGTTCCAAATATCAGAAAAATTTAATGACAACATTTCAGAAGTCTCCTAAGGTCTAAATACCTGATGTTAATAAAGATAAAATGCACATTAATTTCTTACCTTCCTGTAGTACTCTAAGAAGCTCACTTCAGTCCCATCTGCTTTCTTAAAGGTGCTCTTTGGATTCTGATCCCAGTCAATATCATCTACTCTGTATGTTTTATTGTTATACCTGTGGGAACAGGTTACATTAGTATTTGATTAATAGGAGACCAGACTAAAAAGAACCACTTAGTCGCATGCAGTATATGGAAAGCGAAAGCAAATTTCCTAAATTCTATGGTAGATGGAGAGGGAACTGACTCAATTATTTAAAAAATCAAAGCAGAAAGGATAAAAGTCACCAGCTATTGTCCTTTTCAGATGAGTATGCATCCCAAAGTTGGTTCTTGAGAGTGGTTACCATCCCCTCCCTGTTGTGCGCAACTGCTACCACCTAACTTGGATCTTCACTTTCAGGGCTCCTGGGATGAAGTGGCCACCACACCCACAGTTTGTGCGCAACCACCCAGCCTCTGAACAGCAGTCTCACTTGGTCAGGACAATCAGGCCGATCAGCTCCTTTGAAACTTGTTCTTGGAATCTGTGCTCCTCTGTCTGGTGGTATAGGCTGAACATGAAGTCCAGCACAGTCTCGCTGCGCAGGACCTTGTGGCTGACGTCTGTGCACAGCATGATGTTGTTCTCGTATTGTAAGATGGACGTGGTGAAGCCGGGCCAGATCACCAGCCTGTGGGAGGGTGGGCTGTGAGGCACCCCGCGAGACCCACCCTTGCCTTGCCTCTATCAAGAGTGGAGGTTTCTGCCTTTACTAAGGGTATTGGGTCTCTGAGAAAATTTATTGATTTCTGAGGTTTCACACATTTCTAGATAAAGACCTGTACTTCCCAAATCTCTAACAGTCAATGTTATGTTATGACAATTTTATACGTTCCATGTTAATTAGCACACTAACTTTACTAAACAATTCTTTACACTGGCCTGTGACATGAGTTGCCAACCTAACTGGGAGCACCTTTATTGATAAACGAACACTGAAGCAGCAATCCTGACATACTGACATGACAGGGATTTCAAAGGAGTCGAACCACTGACTTTATTAACATAGACTCAATGTTGGCCAACTCTTCATGCTTCCCTGATGACAAATGGTGTATCATGCAATTTTTTAAAAATCCCATGTGACGTCCCTGGTATTATTCAAGTCATGTTAAGCGGCCACATAATGTGACAGCATCATGAGCAGTGAGTGAAGTAATCTCGGTTGTTTTAAACTAAAGCACCACTTTCAAAGTTTGTGACTAAAAAGAGAACTTTGTACTTCATACAAACCTATGATTTGGAATATCGATTGGGTCACTCGGGTTATAATAATTCCGTCCAATTTGTTGCAAATTCATGATCTTCAGAAGTCTGGAAGTTGAAAAGTCAGAACAGAGAGGCCAAAGGTCAGAATACACACTGACTCGTGCTGAGTTTGCTGCTGCAGTTCCAATGGTACGCTGCTCAGCAGAGGGCCGGTGCGCTACGGCCCCCAGCCTGGTCACATCCTGCTGGTTCTTTTCCTGTAGGACCTACAATGGTTTTCCCCACTTTTTCAAAAGGTTGGAAAGAGCCAAAATATCAATGATGCATGAACTACATGCAATTAAAATTTTAGTGGCCATCAGTAAAGTTTTATTGGGGCACAGCAGCCATGACTTTCCTTTACATGGTCTATGGCTGCTTCTGTGCTCAGCAACAGAGGTGAACAACTGAAAGGGGACCACTTGTGACCCACAGAGCCTACAGTGTTTGCTGTTTGGGCCTCTGTAGACAAAGTCTGCTAGCCCCTCCTTTAGAGAAAAATTAGTCTACTGATTACCTTAATTTCAAACATTATGAAGACTGTACTCATAAAGTGATTATCCTACTGTTAGTTACAAACACCTTGTGACAAACTTCCAAGAGCAAATTACCATCAAGCTATCATGTCTCATCATTCTCATCTGAGAAGGGGGAAAAAAAAAAACTTTTGTCAAATACATGTTCAGTTTGGATTTAGAAAAGATGGTATGCATCTTGAAACAACTACTCTAGATTACACACAAATAATTAATTCAAAATGGATTTAAGACTTGAACTTATGACCAGAAACTCTAAAATATGCAGAAGCACTGGTGGCCTGCCCCGGATAGTGGCCTGAGATACAGCTTTGGGACTCGATTCCAACAGCAAGGGAAACAAAAGCAAAAGTAAATAGATGGGACAATGCCAAGCTAGAAAACAGCTACATAGCAAAAGAAACCACCACAAGATGAAAAGCAATTTACTGAATGCAACCCTCACATTCAACAAGGGATTAATATTAAAAAGAACTCACCAATTCAACAACAACAACAAATCACCCCATCAAAACACAGGTAGAGCTGGACAGACGGGAAGACGGGGATGACAAGTGGAGAGGCTCTCCCCATCGCTTTATCATCAGGGAAACACATCAAAGCCTCACGCCTGGAGGAGTGGCCTGTGTCACAAATCCAAGTGACTAGTATAGTGTGGCATGGAGAGAAAGGCAGCCTGCATGCACAGGTGGGAACATACAGTGGTGCAGCTGCCGTGGAAAGCGGTGTGGAGGTTCCTTAAGCGATTAAAAAATAGACCTAGCCCATTCTCTGAGCAGGTGCACTATAGGTGTCTATCGGGAGACTATAGAAACACTAATAGGAAGAGACACCTGCACCCTGTGTTCACCACTGACCACGTGCAGTGCCACTCACAACAGCCAAGACAAGAGGACAACCAAAGTGCCCTGATCGGACAATCAGACACAGAGTGAGGTGTAGAGGTGCAAGGGAAAACTGCTCAGTTCTAACAGAAGATGAGACCTTGCCATGTGCTACGCTGTGGGTGGCCTAGAAAGGATGATGCCAAGGGAAACTGAGTCAGGAAGAGAAAGACAGACACCAGAAAATTCATAGATGGACTATAAAAATTAAACAGAACAATCTAAACAAAAGCCCTTCGACTTGAGGGCAAAACAGTGGTTACAGTTACCAGAGGGACAGGCTTGGGGTAGAGGAAGCACAGGAGGATTGACAGATGGTGGGAAAGGGAACTTGGCTGGATGGCGTGGTGATGTATATTTGAAGAGGTGTGAAGGTGTAAACCTAAAATTTACACAATGTAGCTAAAATAACAAAGCAAATTTTCGAGCATGCAGCATGTTCTTTAGATGGAACTGGCAAATTTGAATAGACTGAACCCTGTCCTGCTTCCTGATATTCACTATGGTAAAAAAAAATGTGCACTTAGTGATAAAATTAGAAAACATGTTATCAAAAGCTCAAATAGTACTTGAAAGCACAAATGTCAACAGAAATAACATTAAATGTATCGGCTCCCAGTGAATGATGGGGTTTTGTGTCAGTAGTCTACCCTTAAGAATCCAATTCAGAGAGGCGCAGGGATGCCAGCGGATGCTGAAACAGCAGGCCGGGAATTAGGAAGGAGTTTCAGGATACAGGTCTTTCAAACTTCCTATATGCTTTGAGCTTTCTTAAAATGTAAAAAAAAAAAAAAAAATACATACCTTCTGAAAATAATATTATAAAACTGCAAACAAGTTGGTGATGTAGGTGGAAGTTCATTTGTTAAAGTGATTGTTATCCTCACATGTTCTCCATTTCGGGTCTGACTAAAAACTTCGGTGACCTGAAGCCAGGGCAGTATAGAAAGCCAAATTGTAAAAGACTCACCCAAAGCATGTAATGGCTGTTAACAAGACAATGTGAAAACTACAGAAAAATAGGTTAAAAAGAATGGCCATGAGCAGACCAGTACCCATATGGTGACAGAGTGTCAACACTAAGCTACTCAGGTAGATCTGAATGACACAGAAATGCTGAAGAGCCTTTTGGGTTCATTACACATCATTTCAGGCAGGGGAGCCAAGGTCTCTCCAGAAGCTGCCCCAGAAGGTGGCAGAGCTTCTCTGAAGTGAACATTTCCTTCCTCCCTCTTCCCACCAGCCCCCACAATGGAAATAACCTTGTGCTGTAGTCTTTTAGGTAAAAATAGTATCGTTCCATCAAAAGCATGACACCTTCCAATTAGATCTTCATGTTGAAAAAGAAGAGCTGAGCGGAGTCTCCTGGCTTCCATCAATGGGTTGTAGTCAATGTGGTACTGATACAGTGCCCACTGGGGGCGGGACGTCAATCGAAAGTGGTTAGTGCTTAGCCTTACTATAATGCCTGAAGAACCTGTAGAAATAATCCACATCTGATTAATAAAAGTCAAGTTTATTCCTTTTGGAGATCTTGGCTGTCAGGTCAAGGCAGACACAGTTTTATAAGCAAAAGACTAAGAGCAGCAGCAACAGGAAAAGTTCGCAGACACGAGACTCTGGAGATGGCAGGCCCTGCCCCTAGAGATGTGCATTTAGAGATGAGCCCTCCTGGGTAGTGCACAGCAGAGCTAACTTGACCTCTCTGCTAAAGAAAAAAATGACCTATGTAATGTTCAGTTCTGCAGCTAATGCAACAGATATCTCTAAACATCCCATCCAAAGCCAAAAAGGAGAGCGAGGATAAGGAAAATCCAAGCAGGACACTTGGCCACTGTGCATTCCCCTCAGTCACACATTCATACAAAACATGTCAGATAAACACACAAATACATGAGTTCACTGTGCCAGGTATCGGAATCTCATGAAACTGCATTCTTAAAAACAGACCTACCTGTTTTTGATTCTTTGACATGGTCTAAGTTCTGTCTGGTGTTCACACCAAGATCATGGAAGTCTCTACGACGACCTCCTCTCTCTGCTAATGACAACTCCTGGAAGCCAGCAGATATCTGGAGTTCTTAAAACAGATAAATTGTGCACTTAATATGAGACAAAGTAAGACGATATTAATTCCCAAAGTCTTACTATGTGAAACCCAAATGCTCTTGGTGTAGTAAATATATAAAATCCCATCAGAGTATCTTAAGTATCTATTAGCCAAAGCAAATTTTGTCATTGCCTTAGACAAATTCAGTTGCTCTGTTGGGAGAAACGTGCACCTCTACAGGATAAGATAATGGGCTGTGAAGTAAGAACCCAGAAGGGTATGTTGACTGGGAGATCATTTTTCTGTACCAAGTCTGATAACAACTGAAGTGCCTTTGTTAACAGACATTTCCACAATTTTTATGATACAGTTACCAGATTTGGCAGTTTACAAGGTATAAAGTATAAATTGAATTAGAAAACTTAAGTCCAAGATGGAATGTCCTCACCAATTCCCTCCCTTGAGTCAGGGGTGGTGGAGTGTCCTGTGCACATCTCATGCCACGACACACGCCCAGTTTTGGGACAGGTCAACAATCCGCTTCTGCTCAGTTACACAACTGCAGCTGCCGCCTCCCAAATGACCCCAAGCTCTTCTTCAATTTGAGGAAAAGAACTATCTCCTGTCAACAGCAGGACATGGGTCAAAGAACTTATATAGGTCTCATAGTCAAGTCTAAGCTGTGGTTAATAGGTATGCTCATTCTGTCTAGCTGACACTGTCAACTACCCAACAACCAATTTTTCATTCTTTAAAAAAAATAAAATGGGAGAAGAATGTACCTAAAAGACTAGAATCCCTACCTTTTGCAGCTAGGGATGGCCAAAGAGATTTAAGCAGAAATGTTTACTGGACATGCCTCTGTGTGAACCTCAGAAGTGACCATGGTTGGCTATTACGTTCCCTATACCCAAGCCCAAGCCCTGCCTGGACAGAAGGCAGAAGGGAGCTCAGAAAGACATTTTGAATCAAACAGGAGTCTTGAAGAAAGTCACAGACTCAGGATGGGAGAAAAAAAAAAAAAGATCAAAGAGGCCCAGTTCTGACTACAAATACCAGTTAGTCCAGATTGCCTACTTCTGGGCCTCCGAGAAGCAACCGTGGCTTCCACAAAATAGGAAAACTACTTATATACCTTGAAAACAGGTTATTTTACTGAGCTTCACTTTCTTTACATGAAAAATTGGGGATAATAAGCCCAGGAGCATGGAGTAAGTCTTAAATGAGATCGTTATGTATAAAGCACTTTAAAGATGCTAGCGATGGTGGTTCATGTAGCCCATGATTCACAAGGGTTCTATTTAAAAATCCTTGAAAGATATAACTGTCTCTGTGAACTTTTTATCCCAGATTGTCTGTTGGAAGTATCCATGGCCACAGGGGCGACTATACTGACAAAGGGCAGGTGCATGGAATCCAACCTAATAGCAATGATGTGCCAGGAAAGGCTTGATTTGAAATTCTCTCTGAAAAATCTTAAATTTGTTAAAAAAAATCAGTACTGGACAAAAAAAGCCGACTATGTTATGAAGCTGTTTCCCTTCCTCCATATAGTACTATCATTTTATTTAGCCAAAATTCTGTTAACTCCCAATCAATAAGCAAACTTCACAAGGTTAGTAAAATGGAAGATCTTGCTAGTTTCTTATTTCTACGAATAGCAGCCACAGTTATTAAAAATACGAATCAGGTTTTGCAACTGTTCAATTTAAGAGTCCTCCCTCCGTGTGTTCACCCCCATTTATAGAATGAAAATCAAGTTCTAAAACAATGTCTCATTAACAACCTTTCTAAATTTCCAATTTCCAAAACACAGCAAACAAGTGCACCTTTGCTGACAAGTGCTACTTACATGAGCAGGGAATGCAAAATAGGCCTCACATTCCTCTCTATTCAGAAGAGCAGGAATTATTTACCTAATAAGGACCTTTGCTCAAAAAGGCAGACAAGGCACTGAGACTCACAACAATGTAAATTTATGAGTAGCTTAAAAAAAACTTTAGCGAAGACAGAGAATGTTTAAGTTTACAAAAATCAGGACAGCTTTTTAGACAGCTGTAGGACATTTTTTGGTACCAAGTTTAAATTCAGTGAAATTTTTCACTGCCATGTGTTGAACACAACTGAACAAGTCAAATAGTGTAAGTTTCAAAAGAACCTTCAAGGCATCAAGATAAGAGGTGCAAGTAAGTGGGTGACATCTTACATTGAGAGAGATTAACCCCATAAATGAATTCTCATCAGGAACCTTAAAAAAACATAAAAGTAACTGTACCTGGATGCACAAACAGCCTTCCTACTGTCTTCAAATGAAACAGCAGTACCTTATGTCCCTTTCCTGAGAAGCCCTTATACAGAACACACCCACAAGCGCTTATAGAGATAACACTGCTCTATTCCATGCTGTCATCTGACTCAGCGGGGTTTCACACTGGAATACCACACACTGGGGCCCTGGGGATGGGGTGCAGTCGTTGGTGGCACTCAGCACCCCAACCTCCCACGAGCACATGGTCCTCACTTACCACGTGTCTGCTCGCTGCCTCCCCCATGGGTGAGGCTGCTGTGAGAGGGCACCAGCACCACAGCCCCAGTGCCTCCCAAGTCAGTATAGCCATACCCCACAGGCATTGGTGCCAACCAACATGGGCAGAAAATAAAGTGGAGAACAAACAGATAAGAAATGTTCCAGTTTAGTTTAAATTTCTTTAATGAGCTCAGCATACTTAACATAAAGGGCACTGCCCTTTCATCTCCTTTCTTCCTTTTTCCAAAGTGTGTCAATATCAAGGATTTCTAATAAGCATGCTGGGTCAGAGAAATGAGCTCTCCTCTCATTTCAGTGCATTTCCGGGGTGCCGTCAGACCAACAGTAACTGCCGACAGTTCACTTACACTACTCTTCAGGGCTAGCTTATCTGTCCACGTTCTTCTAAGGTTTATGGATCTCGCTGGTTACGGCTATTTGCAATATAAGGAATAAAGCACAGAGCTAGCATCATTTCTTGAAGCCTACTGGCCTCCACACTGCCTGCTGAGTAGCCCACCTCCCACACCAACACTGGAGTTACAATGCCCACTTTACTCCATGATTCCCTTGTCTGTATGGATCTGTTTTCCCCTAAGCCCAACCCAAAATGCGGGAGAATCTTCTACCAAGCATTCAAATAATTTCAGCAGCAATGCAGTAACAAGCAATTTTTGGAATCACAACTGGCTGTCACAACTTTGACCTAGTTTTTGCATGAGGAAATTGTGGAACAACACAGTGAAGATGTGTTTCAGAAACCAAAGCATTTCAATTGGTCCAGTATTTGATGAAAACACTAAAGATGCCAAGAGAATGTTCTAAAGGTAGTTTATTAATGCATAATAAGCAAACCCGGGTTGACTTCAGATTTGCTAACAGTGAATGCAGGGATAAGGTTCTGCACCCTCCAAGGTGGGATGCCCTCTGGCAGGGAGACCATACCCGGGCTGCTGTTTCAGTCTACCACCAGACATGCGCATGTGCACCCAAGCCTCTTCCCCGCCTTCACCTTGTGACTTGGCTGTCGCTCCTACTGGCCCTCTCTGTCGCCCTCGGCCAACTAGCTCCCCCTCTGCTGGCGGCTGCTGAGGTCGAGGCTGAATATAGCCGGGTTGCTGACTCTGTAGTGATGTGCAAATGAAGAACAGCATCTCGTGTAAGAGGTCAGGTGTCTGAGCAAATAACCGGTGCAAAAGACCAAAGCGTCCTCCACGCCCACCTAAACTAGCAGATGTTCCATCAGCAGAGGGTTCCTGCAGAAGGCTCACCAAGCTCCATGCCCCGGGAAGCAGAGCGTGGCCCGCCGGGCTCCTGACCTCTTGGCCGGATGTCGCCGGCGCGCCCTCAGCACAGCCCTCCCACCTGGCCCACACTCACTGCGGCGGCGCCCACGTGCTGCGCCGGCTCCTGACCCCGAGCCCGTCCTCGCGCCCTGGCTCTGGCCCGTCCAGTCATTGTACCCTGGGAGGAAAGAGCTGTGAGGACAGTTCTCAGCGCGCCAGGACTCCTACTGTCACTGCACCGTGGCCTGGCTTTGCCCACCCAGACCCGAGAGGGGCGGTGTCCGGACCCCTCCAGCCAAGGTGGCGGCGTGGACTGTGCCAGCAGCGGACCCCCGTCTCTGCCTGGTGCGCAGGATGTGATGCAGCTCTCGCCGCTGTGCCCTCCTGCCCGCGCCTGCTGACCTGATGCTGCACAGTGTCCTCTGCACCCCCACGTGCTCCCTAGGCACCTTCGCCTTGTCGCTGAAAGAAAACTTTCACTGAGTCTAGAGAGTCCCTCGTCACCCATGCCCCGTACCCCACTGCTTGGCCATCTCCAGCACTGCCAAGATGCTGCTCTGTTGTGCTAGCAAGTGCCCCCAACCCCTACCTACAGCCGGGTGATGCAACCCGTTGCTTCACTTTTGGAACCCCGAATGGGCACCGAATCTGCACCCTCGCGCTTTGCGCCAAGATGGAGCCTCGACACCCGCCAGACAGCCCCGCGCCAGTCTAGGCCTCCAGACACCAGCAAGCGGGAGGGAAAGGCGGGCGCGAGCTCCCGGGAAGTGGGGGGGCTGCACCTGGCAGGGCCAGGCCTCGGGCCGGAGGGGGGCAACCCCGCCTCGGGAAAGCAGCAGGTGCAAGCGGCCCTCGCAAGGAGGTGGCTTGCGGCAGGGAAAGCGGCTCCCCCCTCGCTGCCCGGGCCCCGCGGAGCGCCGTCCCCCACGCAGCACACCAGCAGAACGGCCTTCCCTCGGGCAGCCGTTCACCCCACGCCCGCCTCCCCGGCCGCGCGGCCACCACCATCCAAGCCCGACATCCTCACCTCCCGCTCCGCCCTGCGACCCGCCGACTGCCAGCCCTAGCGGCGACCGTTAGGGATCCCTCCGCAGCCCGGGCCGGACTCGCTCCGCTCTCCGGGCCCTGGGGCCTAGGGGACAGGGCCTCTTTTTTCGGCGGAGGGACACAGCTGTCTGCAGCGCAGCACGTGCAGACCAACGGCATTTCGTCACGCGGGACACGCTCTGATTGGCGGGGTGCTGAGGGCCGTTTCCCCGCCGCAGTCGGCCCCGCCCCTCGGGCCCCGCCCTGGAGTAGCGTCTGGCTGCACACCTGGCTGACCCATTGTGGGTGCATCCAGGCCTCGCACGATTGAGACACCCAGAAACCTCTCTTCGAGTGTACTGCTGCAAAAACACGGGCATGCTCTCAGCTGGTCCCAGATAATTTTGCTCCTCAGAGATACGAGATTGCCTCCGAAGAACCGCAGACTGCATTCTAGGGCATTTCACTTTCTACATCAATTCTCATTGTGTGCAGGTGTGTTTCCTGCGTCGTGATCACTTGAAAGGCTCGCGAAACCTCAGGTAGCTCCTTCCTCGCCGCGAGAGCCCTGGCTTGAGCTCCAGAAGCGGGGCTCGTGAGCCACGTCGCTTTTGGCAGGTGATGCTGATGTAGCTGCCTGTTCACAGATGCAGGCGTCAAGCCGATGCCCTCAACTGGAGTTACTTTACAACCACAGACGTTGCAAAATGGAACGGAATTACTTGTCCAACTGGGAAGCGGGGCTTATGGGGCTATGTGACGAGTTAAATCCAGTAATAACTCAATAGCTTCTTTACAACGTGTGTGATGGGCTAGTGGTGATAATAGCCGCGGTTTGTTTTTGAGGATATTGATACAGCAGATGTGATTTTTATTCCTACTTAAGAGTGTTACTTCCCTGGGTATGGGGGCCGGAGTGGGGGGTAGGTTGGATAAAACTGAAGTCTCCCCAAATCACCTTCCTAGTCCTCCAATCTCATTTGTGGGGTGAAAGGTGCACGCCAAATTTTGATTTCAGTGTTTTCCATTCCAGTTTGATTGAAAGTTTCTCTGGGGACTTGTGGAAAAAAAAAAATGCACACTCTCAGAGTCTGTATCCGATTTGGGATGGGCACAAAAATTTTAACAAGAGACCTGAAGTGATTCTTAGGTTCAGAAATTTGAAGCAATCTCCTCCATCCTCCATCTTTCACATTTAACAGATTTTGTGAAAGGCAGAACCACCTGAAGGAGTAATCTGGGAATAAATGGTGTCACCAAATCAAAGGCTCAGTTTTGGAATACAGTGCAAACATTAACCCTTCCAGAACAGTGAGAACAATATTCTGTGAACTTGCCAGCAGGTGGAGCGGTAAAACAGGAAATAGCTCCTGCCTGCCCAGCACAGGGGAGGCCTACCAGGAAGGGACATGAATGGGGAGAAGTGACATTCTCCCTCTGGGGTGATTTTCTCCATAGGACAAACTCCCCATCCTTACACAACATGGGGCCGGTGTGGAGTAGGCCCAGAGGGTCTCCGTGAGCACCCATGGAACCAGAGTCCATGGGCGGAAGGGGTGAAGATGTGAGCCAGAGACAGCTCCTCTCCCTCCTGACCCCGAGCATGTCAGGTCTCACAAAAGCTCACTTACAATTTACAAAAATTTTAAGCCACAAACAGAAATTGAGGAAGCATTGATTCTGAGAATTCTCCGTATGGACAGCATGGCCTGGTGCCTGAGAGCTTCGGCTCTTGGCTGCTACCAGGTGCCTGGTGGAAGTTGACAGGTGATGGAGGCAGGGGGCCCCCTGAGGGTCTGGTTGTGGAAACCAGGCTGAGGCTGCACATGCTTCATGGACCGGAGGGGTCGTCACAGTGCTTTGGAGTGACATAGCTGGAGCCTGGAAGGGGGTGCATGGGAGCCACAGGAAGGTGCAGTGGGGAGTGGTGGTTAAGGTACACAGCTGTTTAAGGAACTGAACTGGTGCCACAGGAGTACGGGTACAGGTGAAGTGACAGGTGAAGATGATGAAGGGACAGACCAGTTCCAGAAGCTGAGTGACAAGAAGAACCTCTGCATGAGGCTGAGCCTGGGGCCTCCATCAAGTAGAGGGGAGCAGGCAGCCAGCCCCCCTAGGAGAACAAGGCCCAGTCTGCTGGTGTCCTGGGTTTGGGCTCTGCTGTTGGTCTGTTCCATTGGTGTGCACTTCAGGGGACATCAAAAGGATATTTTACAGGGACAATTCAGGGCACTTGACACTTTCATGGGTCTCTGCACCCCCACCTTTGAAACACATCCTCACATCAAGCTAGAGCCCACACTATGGGCCCTGCCCTGCCCCTGCCCTGGCCACCACACACCTGACTACCCTCCTCTGTCAACAGCATCTCAAGGACATCACAGGTGGGCCCGTGTGTGTGGCTTCTTACTGAGCATCATCTTCTCAAGGCCCCCAGGCTGCCGCCCCGCCACCCTTTGCACAGCTGGTCCTTGCCCACTGTGCGGACAGAGTGTGTTCCCTGGCCAGCGGCTGTCACGAGTAGCTGGAGAACCCATGGACTCATCTTTCACCCGTGACCCCAGAGCTTGTGAGCGCTGCGTAGGACACGATCCAGGGAAGGAAGAGGATGAAGGGGACGGAAAATCTGCCTAGTCCAGGCACGGCTGGCACCCCAGTCTCAGTGGGTGGGAGCGGGCTCTGTTGAGGGAGGAGGGTTGAGGCCGTCCGCCACGAGCCCTGAATGCCGCATCCAGAGCTGGGCCCACTGTGCACGATGGGCTACTTCTGAGGGTTTTAGCAGAAAACTCCCTAAGGAGAGCTTGTTCTGACTTCGTGCTTCTCACGCAATGATCTTGCAGCCTGTAATCCAGTTTGCTTCATGCATAAAGCAGCTGAACAGAAACACAGCTAAGGCGTGTTTCCCTGAGTTCCGTAGCTCATCTTTCCTCCCTTCACAGTTACCTTGCATTCTGGTTTTGTTGCATCAAAGAGCTGCCCAGCTCTGCACCTGCTAGCCAGATGTGGGCCAGATCGGGCTCCTGGAAGTACAGGATGGAGGCCTGCGGGTGGGCTGAGGCCCTTGGGGAACCCGGCTGGCACTGTGACAGCCCCTGGCCAGTCTTCAGTCCTGACCCCTGCTGCCCAGATTTGACCCTCACAGGGTTCTTGGGGAAAATACCAGGCCCGCAGGATGCCACCCTTGTACCCTCAGTCACGCCCCTGCCTCAGCCTGTCCTCAATATGCCCTGGCATGCTGGTCTTCTCTGGGGTCCAGGGCTTGGTCCTGCTGGGCACTCAGCTTGGTTCTGTCAGGGGCATGTGTGCCAGAGGGACTGGCTTCCACTCACCACCCAGGTCATTATTTCATGGGCTCCTGCTCTGGGGGCCCTGCCTCAGCCCAGCACCCATCCTCAGGGCCCCATTTGCTCCCCCTGCTCTCCCTAGGGCCTTTCCACTTCAGCTTCCCTGCTTGGAAGCGTCTTTGCATTGCTCCTCACTGTACCACAGGGATGTGTCCTCCACATAGGAGGGCCTGAGCACCATCCTAAGAGCACACTGATTATCCCTGCCTCTACCCCTCACCCTGGCTGCATGTGCGGGGGGTTGGGGATGGAGAGGTGCCATAACAAATTACCAGGCTTAAGACAACAGGCCTGCATCCTCTCCCAGCTCTGAAGCACAGTCTGCAAACACGGAGCTGTGCACCAGCTCTTGCCACGGCTCCAGGGGATCCCACCTGCCCCTCTAGCTCCAGTGGCCCAGCGCCTTTCGGCCTCTGCCTCTGCCGTCTTCTCCTTGGGAGACTCCAGTCATGGGCATGGAGCCCCCACATCCATGGCGGCTTCATCTCAAGATTCTCCATTGATTAACATCTGCAGAGACCTCACTGCCCCCTGACACCACATTCTAGGACAAACTGGCCAAGAGCACCTGCTGACCGAAGAATGAGTGAATGAGAGCAGTCCCTCCAGCTCTAGCTGGGCTGGTCACCTGTCCCTCTAGCTCTTTACTCCTCTGCCCTGTGGTCCTCCTGCCATCCCGGCCTCCCGGCCTGGACCAGGGGCTAGGTGGGAAGGCTCAGCCGTATGAGGATGCCCAGGTCTCCTCTCCCTCCTGGTTACTGCCACTGCCTCTTCTTTCCTGGACAGCCCCTGCCCACACTAC